ATAGATGCCGCCATTATGATGTCTGTTTTGCCGTATATCACGCCCGATTCTAATTGTAATTTCTCTGTACTAAGCATTTTTATCGAAATTTAATACTTAGGGGATATTGTCATATTGTGTAATTGTTTTATATTATAATTGTTACATGTGTTATGTGGATTATCTATTGTTATTATTAAACATTATTTGACAATGATTATTGCCGGTGGCTGCCGGTGACTGCCGGTGGTACCGGAGATCTGCCGGTCGTCCCTAGGGAAGCGCGTGGGTCTCCGGGGGGACTGTCGAGAGCTATATAAACAGAGGATAAGAACTGCCGGTGGGACTCGGCATTTAGATTTTGAGGTTAGCGGTTGTTTATTTGATTCTTAGCATTTTTCATTAGGAATTTAGTAATTTTTGAATTAATTCATCAATTTTTCTTAAAGTGAATACGGGTTAATCTCGTTTCACTATTAATTACTAGTATTTATCGTAGGACGTTTGTATTGGGTTAATCTCGATATTAAACGATTAAATAATTTTGTTACGGTTTGACTGAAAGTGAGTCTTGAAGTCTTTCCGTGTAAATAATTGTTTATCTTTGATAGATTTTAGTAATTCAATCAATTTAAAGTGATAATCTAGTTGCGTTTATTGGAATATTCAAGCAGGAATTAAGGCTAGGATTTGATATAGAAATTATAGAGATAATTTCTTGCTTTAAATAGCTTTTATAGATTGTGTAGATTCGTTTAGAAATACTTTGGTTATTCTAAGGTATTTCTATAGTATTTATTACTCACTATTCGGGTCATTCTCGTTTAGTGCGCCCCCCTCCTTTATCGTATTAACGTAATACGAAGGTTGTGTTAGTGTAGTAATTCATTGTGAATTTGGGTGATTCCCGACTTCCATTGAATTTTATTGTAATTGAATATTAATTAATACATATTGTGACTTTTATTTATTGAATAAATTTGTTAACTTTAAATAAGGCTTATCATTTAACTTCCCCGTAGTTATTTACGAGTCCAAACACAGGTTATTCTTGTGTTATTATAGGAGATCTTTATTTACGGGTTATTCTTAAGGAATGACTCTAATTCTTGGCCATATTATCGAGTATAATCTGGTTTGGGTCAGTTTACGCTTTTTTATAATCCGCGAATGACCCAAACCAGATTATACTCGATAATATGGCCAAGAATTAAAGTCATTCCTTATAATTTAATTTTAAAATAATTAAACAACTTTTGATGTAAAATTGTGTTGCTTTTCATAAGTTCAAATTTACCGCGCAATAATACAACCGTAGTAACGGAAGTGATTTGAAGCGAGGGGAGGTAATGACTGATACATAGATCTAGCAGCCATGATGTTTGTTTACATGAGGTAAGAACGAGTAATTGATTAAAGTTGAAGGTACATTTATTAAATCTGGAATTTTCCATGGATTCCGAGGACTAGAAATGAGGAGATTGAATGGATAAGATGATTAAGCTGGTCGTCAAGGGGGTGCGTCCCCATACCAAACCAGATTATACAAAATGTTATGCGTTCCTTTTTGGAAATCAACCAATGAGAGGCGAGAATAAGATAAGATAAGATAAGATAAGATATGCTTTATTACTAATTCAGTGCCCAAATGAGCATAAAGAGTACAAACTTACAAGAGAAAGGCCTAATATATAGTTGACAGAAAAAGGAAAAACAAAACAAAAGATTTAGACATACATGAACCTATACAAACATGTACATAAAATAGACATATGACTCTTCAATGTATATATACATATGTATCATATTGTGGTATGGGGCATCAGTATTTAGGCTAATGGCAATTAATTAATGTACATGCATTTTTGAACTTATAATGTTTATAAGATAGATAGAGAAAAAAAAATGCAAAGTACATTAGTAGTAGAGACTGAAGTACATATGAATTGAATAATTATGTATATCCTAACATTTTTACTTTTATCATTTTTTAATGAGATTTTTTCTCTTAATAAAAGATTTGGATAAAAAGTCACATAGTTTAAATAATATATTGTGATCTTCATTTGCCATAATCCATAAAAATTTTTGATTGTTGGACAGAGTGTTGAAATTTTTATAATTGTCACTTAAAAAGTTAAATAAAACTTTCCTTTCTTCATTATATAAAGAACAATTTGTAAGGAAATGGATTTCATCTTCAATACAATTTGAATTACAAAGAGTACATGTCCGTTGACTTCTTTCTAGAGGGATCTTTTTCCCATTAATATCTTTCGTATATTCATATCTACCACGTTCAATTCTTAATTCATGTGCACTTATTCTGAATTTACACAGTATTTTCCTCTGTTCAAAAGACTTTAAAGATAGTAAATATTTCTCAATGGCAAAAGTATTCTTCAACAAAAAATATTTATCAAGTTTACCATGTATTTGACCCTCATCGTGTATTTTAAGCCAATATTGGTAAAAATGCTTTTTGATAAGTTTTTTCAGTAGTCCTTTAAATGTGGTCACATTTAACTGTTTACATATGGGTAAATTAAGGTCTAGTTTGTTACATAAAAATTTGACAGTGTCATACCAGTTATTGATGTCAGACTGACTAAGATTTTTGCACTCTTTATATGCACAATATAGTAAAGATGATTCTGACATATTTTCTAATCTATGCCAATAAGATAGTAAACTAATGATGATTGAACAAAACATGGGTAATCTGCCAAGTTCAGATAGAATAGCAATATTTGTACTCTTTTTACCAACACCAAGAATAAATTTACAAAATTTGATATTCAATTTCTCTGCATCCCAATCTTTGTATATAGTGTAAATGTCTTTGTTTTTTTCAATGTTGCATTTAGATAACATGCCCCAAACTTCACAGCTGTATAATGATATTGGTTTGATTAGGTGGTCAAAGAGGTGTAGCTGAGTTTTTATAGATGGTTCTGATGATTTCAAATCTTTGTGCACTTTGAAGGAGGCTTTCAAAGCTTTTTTAAATAATGTTTCTTTTGCTTCTTTAAAGGAGCCGGATGAACATAGTACTATTCCCAGATATTTATAACTTTTGACACATTCAATTTCTCTATTTCCAAGAAAAAAAGGTTCCTGAATTAGACGGCCACTTTTGTTAAAAATTATTATTTTTGTTTTGTTACAATTTACTTCTAGACACCACTTATTACAGTATTTATTCAATGTATTTAGTTTGTTCTGCAAATCAATTTGGTTGTCAGATATTAAAGCAAGGTCATCTGCATACAGAAGAGCTGAAATTTTCTTTCCTGATAAGGAAACATTATTGGTACATGAGTTATCTTCTTCAAGTAGGGTAGAAAGATCATTTAGGAATATTTTGAATATATTTGGACTCAACACGTCCCCTTGATGTACGCCAATTTCTGGTGAATAAGGACTTGTGAGTTTATTGTCTATCTTTAATTCGGATGTTACAGTGTCTATACATGTTACATAATATATTATAAAAAAGACCATTGATGTTTAATTGGAGAAGTTTTAGTTTTATACCTTCATGGATAACTGTATCGAAAGCTTTATGAAAGTCCACAAAACAGACATATAATTGTCTGTTCTTTGAGTTAATGTATTTGTCTATGAGGCACTTCAGAACGAATAGATGATCTGATGTTCTTGATGATTTTGAGAATCCGATTTGGCTTTCATGAATGATATTATTTTCAATCAGAAAAGTATCAAGCCTATTATTTAAGATAGTATTAAAAAGTTTCCCAATGCTATTTGTTATTGTTATTCCTCTATAATTTTGTGGGATCCTTGGATTTTCGGATTTAAATATTGGTGTTGTATATCCTTCTAGCCATTTCTCTGGGTATATACCAGTATTAAATATTGTGTTGAATAACTTCAGTAGGCAGCTGTTTAGGTATGTATGTGATGCTTTCAACATTTCGTTTGTAATATTGTCTAACCCTGGGCTTTTTTGAGACTTCAAGGACTTCTAAAGAATACAAATAAGATTAAATTATTCGGAAATAATCACAGTATTACATGGGTTATTCCCGTGTAGGCTTCTAAGGAGTACTTGTGCGTGAGATCCAAGCAGCTCAGGTCCGTTACATTGGTGGGGAGGGGGGGGGGTGTCGGAGAAAAAAACGCTTACTGTACCTAGCAAAAATGACAAGGAAAAAGAAATTCCAAACTCTAAAAAAAAAGTCTTTTTTCGGGTATGGGTAGGTGGGGATGGGGGGCTTTCCACTGAGTTGGTTCCAACTTCTTTAAATTATCAAATTTTCTACATACGGCACCAATTTACCCCAAACGGGGAATGGGACAAGCAGCCTAACTATCCGGGTTTGTAGACCGACACGGTTTTTACTTTTCTTTTTGCTGTGCTTAATCATTGGTGTGTTTGTGCGGACGCATTGTATACACAAAAAAGTTAAGAGCCTAATCGAAGAAAGAACCTTGAAGATGGCTTGTCGATTGAATTCACTTATCAGAATTAAAAAGCTTATAGAACAACCTTTAAAGAGGCATTTTTCTACAACCCAGGCTACAACAGCTTTAAGAGGTAATTGTTTTCATTTTCTGATAGCTGTTCAATCATTATTTATCAGGAATTTTCTTAGACAATGTTTATTTATCAGCCAATAAGAAAGATGACCCTCATGAGGCAATGATATTTCTTTGCAGTTAAGGAGACTGTTTCTAAAGAAATCACTGTGGTGAGTAGTCAGTCTTTTCTACGTTTTCCCCCATTATTCATACATTTGATGTACTAATGAAAATGTCTGTCCTTTTATTGAAGATCGAGGGCGAGAAAGTAGACTCAGGCTGGGAGGGGAAGATTCTGAAGACAGCTGAACTGAAGAATGACGCATGTCCAATCTGCCGTTTAAATGTAGAAATTAAGTATACAGTAAGCATCACTTCCATATTCTATTCTTTTGTATTAAAAAATGAATTACTACCCCATCACCCCTCAATTCTTTAAACAGTTAAAGGGGGGTTTAAAATTTTCTGTCAAGTTAAAAAGGCTTAAAGCACAAAAACAAGTGTCGGGATGGGTGAAATGCCTGGATGCCCTGACTGATTTTATAACATTCATTTATCATGTACATGTATACTTGTACCAGTGTTTGAATCTCACTGCAAAATTAGCTACAATGTAGATATGCAGGCCTGACTGCTATTGAAAGTTGTCAGCCCTACCAAAAATGTACTAGCTAAAAAAAAAGTCTTTTATAAGACTTAGCTCGTTGTAGCAATAATGTGAATGAGGCCAGCTCACTATATGTTCTATCCCGGACCTAGAGGCTGATGAACTCTACCCATTTGCTTGTTACACTTTGCAACCACTCATTATAAAAAGTATTAAAATCATGAAAACAATCTCCATTTTCGGTGCACTGCACAGCCCTCACAACCAGTAATATTAGTTGATTTGAGAGTTTTATAAGATATCTGAATTTTGTTTTATGTAAAAATTTTATATGTCCAGCTTGACATCAATACGTGCAATCTGTTCGACCGTGACAAAATTTTTGTGTCTTGGGCGCATGGTTATTTCAAACACTGGGTGTACCTTAGTTAAAATCAGGAAAACACCAAAATAATCTTTTTACACAAAAAAATACGTCAATATACATAGTACATTATTGGAGAAGGTATACCACTCTGGTTTGTTATCGTTGTACCACATCTGTCCTTTTTGAGTTTCAAAAAAAAAACACGTATTTATTTCATTACAACCTAAAATAATAGTGGACATTGTCTCTATATGTCGGTTATTCTGCTTATGCAGATAAATTGGCTTTGGATTGCATAAAAATCCCACAATTAATCCTCAAACACAAGGTTGAAATAAAATAAGTAGAAATTCAGGTAGAGCCAAAGCTGTCATAGCTTTAGAAGCCCACAATACTCAGATGGTCATGAAGGCTCATGAGTTTTTGTTCTTGTTTTTTTTAATTTTATTAATGGGTATACATGTATAAAGTTTATTTTATTTTTTCAGGATGTTTTAATACTTCAACAGTTTTTGAATGATAAAGGTGGACTTCTTCCTAGGAGAGCTACTGGAGTCTGTCAGAAATCCCAAAATGAATTACAAACAGCAGTCCACAAAGCCCAGCGTGCAGGTAAGTGGGACATGTGAGATGAATGGGGAGACTTTGTGGAAATTTTGTTCACAGTAATGTTTTTTCCGCAAGAGAATCTCAAATTAATGAAATTAAATGAAATATCTTGAGCACATTTAGTATTTGATTTTGTGAATGGGGATATGAAACAACCCTGTTGTTAACACTCAGCCTTGCCCTTGTTTAATGGTTAGAAACAATTCTTGCCTCATTAAAATAATGTTGTCAAGGGGAGTAACTTTTACACGTTTAAACAACTTTGAAAGTCTAATACCCCTGGTACATTTGTACGTAGAAAATCATTTGTTTACACTAAACAGATAAAACTGTCTTTGTGGCAATAGTTCTAAATAGGTGTATGCCATTGATCTTAATAACATGTATTTCTTTGAATTAAGTTTAGATTAGGCTAGTTTAATGTCATGAAAGAAAATTAACTTAAATACTCTTATTTGGAAAAAAAGTATTTACATTTACAATTGATGTGTTTACAAAAGGTTAAATAAAAGGTTTATGTCTTCTTTCTCTCAAGGATATCCAGAGTGTATGTGTTATGTCTTTCAGGACTGATGCCACAGTTCAGACCACCACCAAAAGAAGGCAGACCAAGGAAATTCCCAGTATCTAACTTCAAGTGGAAAAGGTTTCCAGCATATTATGATGATTAATTGATTAACATTAATAAAATAATTTTATTTATTTATTTTTTTGGGTTCTGCTATATAAATGGTTTACTACATAATCATCAAGAATCAGGAAGTTTCCAACGTTGTCCATGAATTATGTAGCATAAAACATAAAACTTCATTTTTTCTGAAATACTGGCAATTGTATTACATGTAATCATAAAGATTATATGGTTGCTCAATTGTCCACAGTATCTGTTCAGTTGAAGTTTGTGTGCTTATGGCATGTTTTGACCATTAGCTTTGACTTCTTGAGAATTTTGCACTCAAACTGGGATGCAGGCGGCCACTACTTGCTGCTGGTAAAAATATATCTGTATTCAGCACTAATGGCCATGGGGCATTGAATGATCTTATTCCTTGCAAATACTATAGTTTTATTGGTCTCATCTAAAGGACTGGTCTCCATGGATTCCATTTGGATTTGGACCTATGACTACTGACAATATAAGTAACATATTATGTTAATTCATCTTGTATTTTTATGTCACTGTTCACTGCTCAAAAATGATTTGAATATCTGTACACATTTAAATGTCCACTGTGACCCCCAGTCCATAGAATGTCACCACAAAGGGCCAGCGATAAGGAAGTTCTCTTGTCTTCCTGGTCTGTTCTCAAGTATTTGAGAAATTCACCACCAGAATCCAGCAGATGAATGCTGTAGTTTTTTTGCATCCATCACAATCAAATTGCAAAGGTTGTCACAAACAACATCCACTGGGAAGAATAGATGACCTTGATTTCCTTTGTAAATAAAGCGGAAACGAGCGGTCCTTGACATCACTTTCAGAACACCATGTTCATCATCCAAGTTGTCCAAAACGCAAATATCCGTGTTAGCGTTTTCTGTTATTCTGAACGGCTGCGTGAAAAACTTTCTTCCATTTTCTTGGTATTCATAAACTTTCTTTTCGTGTCCTTTCAGAGAGTACAGTTTGACTAAACCTTTGCAATCTTTTGTACATGTTTCTCTACAAGGATCAGCCATTGTGACCAAAAAGTCACCATCAGTTGTCAAACATACCCCTTCAGGAGTAAGTGGAGAGGTTTCCACGATAGTCGCAAGTTTGTTGTTGGTTAGCCGTTTAACTGCTTTATTTCCGCTGTCTGAGAAAAGAATATCGCCATTGGAGAGCACGGCAATATCATTTATATCGCAGTCAATTTCGTTTCTACTCTTTAATTTTCCTTTCTTGGTAACTTTGTCGAAGTGAGTTTGGTCAGAGGCTACTAGAATAGCATTCTCGTAGTTGTCCACCTCTAAAGCGATGATGTCCCCTTTCTCGTGTTTAAACGACGCAATTTTTGTCACAGAAAAGTCGTCGAAATCTTTAACTTCTCCAAGGAAAGATGTTACAATTTCCTTTAATATTGTACCATTTTTAAAATGTAACGAATATCGTTGATCTTCAATTGCCTCATCTTTAACTAAAGACGAAACCTTGTTTAATCGACAATTCACATTCAGTAAATTGTAGCCAGAGAGGGAGCAAGAACCTTCCAGTTCCCCGACCCTGTCCCGGAGTTCTGTCTCTTTTTCCTTTAACTTCGACTGAATTTCCATCAGTTTTCTGTTCTTCTTTTCGGCCCCATTTTTGAAAACTTTCTTACTTTCTTCGACACATTTGGTAAATTCGCTTAAAATTTCTCTGTAGTGACATTCTAATTTGGATATTTCTCCATCTCGATCTGCAATGTTTTGTTTCACCATCGAATCAATTTTTTCAATCTGCTTTGCAATATTTGGCAGCTCTTCGTCTTTGATTTCCAGGCATATTCCGGAGAGGCGCGATTTCTTCTTGGTTGATGCTTTTCGGACCGTGTTCCAGTCGTGATTTCGATGTTCTGTTTTTGCGCAGTCTGTACATATTAATTCATCACAGTCGTTACAGAAAAGGTTTTCAATTTCCGAGTGTTTCTCACACTGTGGGACACTAACTTGAGGAGATCCAAATCGGAATTCAACACTATCGTATTCTGCCATGTTTTTTTTCTTCAAAATGACGTGCAATACTGATAAATTTAAAGATTTTTATTACTAGTATACATGTAATGTTGGTCCACAAGGAAATTATATGTATAATTCAATTTCCGACAGGAAAAGGCTTTTAAGATGCTAAAACATCTATTATTAAAAGTCATTATTGCATTTAAAGTATGCACTTCCTTAAATAAGAAAGTCGGACTTTATTGGATGTGCATAAAAGTCTTGCTACAAGGAAGAACTTTTAATGTTTTTAAAAAGCATTTTCATTATTTTTTTTAATATTCTATGAATTTGCATTCGCGGATTTAGAGGGGTCCGGAACCCCCCTCCGCCTTAGAATTTGCAGTTATTAAATGTATATATACAATGTACTAAATCAAGTAAAAGTAAACTTGGATCCCTGTAGCAACCGCTAATGATATACGCCGCTTAATGATACAAATATCATTAAGTATTGCAATATATAATAATATTTCTTTCATTAAGCGGCGTTATATCATTAGCGGTTGCTACAGATCCCTCTAGAAAACGCAAACCCCTCCTCGAAAACACAAATCTATGTATCTGGTATGAAAAGTCATAGATTTGAAGGTTGAAAGTCAATGACCGGGGGGAAATGTTTTTCACAGTTGGAATTTTTAGCTCTACTGGTCAGAGACCAGAAGAGCTTATGCGATAGTAATGCGTCCGTCGTCCGTCCGTCTGTCTGTCTGTCTGTCTGTCTGTCTGTCTGTCCGTCTGTCTGTCTGTAAACAATTTTTCAAAATGCTACTCCTCCTACAGTTTTGGTCTGATTTCAATATAAATTGGCACACAAGTAGACTACACTAAGATACATAATTCTGTGTATCGGTTTTTGATTTCGATGAACGGTGTTGCCGTGGTTACTAAAAATAGAAATTTCTGTGAAATTCTTTCAAAATGCTACTCCTTCTACAGTTTTAGTCTGATTTCAATATAACTTGGCACACAAGTAGACTACACTAAGATACATAATTCTGTGTATCGGTTTTTGATTTCGATGAACGGTGTTGCCGTGGTTACTAAAAATAGAAATTTCTGTGAAATTCTTTCAAAATGCTACTCCTCCTACAGTTTTAGTCTGATTTCAATATAACTTGGCACACAAGTAGACTACACTAAGATACACAGTTCTGTATATCGGTTTTTGATTTCGATGAACGGTGTTGCCGTGGTTACTAAAAATAGAAATTTGTGTGAAATTCTTTCAAAATGCTACTCCTTCTACAGTTTAGTCTGATTTCAGTATAACTTGGCACACAAGTAGACTACACTAAGATACACAATTCTTTATATCGGTTTTTGATTTCGATGAACGGTGTTGCCGTGGTTACTAAAAATAGAAATTTCTGTGAAATTCTTTCAAAATGCTACTCCTTCTACAGTTTTAGTCTGATTTCAATATAACTTGGCACACAAGTAGACTACACTAAGATACATAATTCTGTGTATCAGTTTTTGATTTTGATGAACGGTGTTCCGTGGTTACTAAAAATAGAAATTTCTGTGAAATTCTTTCAAAATGCTACTCCTTCTACAGTTTTAGTCTGATTTCAATATAACTTGGCACACAAGTAGACTACACTAAGATACATAATTCTTTGTATCGGTTTTTGATTTCGATGAACGGTGTTGCCGTGGTTACTAAAAATAGAAATTTGTGTGAAATTCTTTCAAAATGCTACTCCAAATACAATTTTAGTCTGATTATTATATAAATGTGGCATGCAGGTAGACTGCACTAAGAACATAAAGAGACTTAATCAAGGATCATTATTCTATTTATTGCTGTTGAAAAGTTTCAATTTCCAACTGCTTAAGTACTTTTCTCTTCCTTTGCTATAAGTACAAACCAGTAGAGCTTCAGTCTCGACAGAGACTTCTGGTTTTGACTGGGGTAGATCCCTCTGGAAATAACTTCCTGGATCCGCGCTTGAAATTGCACACATGCAGATGATTTCATGTTGACATATTTTAAAAGCTTTTAAATCCTACTTCTCAAGAAGAACAAGGCAAGACCATTATTAGTTATATTAAATTGAAACATACCGGTATGGAGATAACGAACATTATTCAAGATCAAAAGTCGATAAAACAATACAAAATAGGAGCAGAGAAAACACGGACTTCCAAAACACCAGAGGTGGGAACAAGTGCCATGGAGGAGTGAGCATCCCCTGCCGACCGGTCACATCCGCCGTATGCATGCTCCTTGTCAAATGAGATTATTCTCAGATTATGTAGATTCAAATTATCAAATCATGGAACATGATAGTGATAGCCTGACATATCTGACGTTTTCCATGCTTTTTTCACGATTTTGAAATTTGACGTGCCAGGAAAATGAAAACAATGGGAGGCAGAGTTTAAGCTATGTGGAAGGGGGAGAATGAATTCCATTCCAGTCTTTGTCTCACTGGGGATGGGAACGAAGCTATGAAAATTAACGTTATCTTGAAAACAAAATCTGGAAAAGAAGATTGCAAATATATAATAATTATATTACAGTTACCGGGTTTAAGATCTGTAGTTTTGTATGTGTGTTATCATTCTTTTGTAATAGTAAAATAAATGTGTTTTTTTTCCATTGTATTTTCAGATAAATACTACACTCACGTATAAATACCTCCTATATGACACTTCAATTTATGTATAGCATTTCATCAAATGTAATTATTCGTACATTTCTTTTTCGTTCACATCACGCATTTGTCCAGAATTTAACCAATCGCACTTGGAAACAAAAGTAATTGTAATTTATTAATTCCGTTTCATATTTATCGAACCCATCTCAGCTAATCAAACTGACCCCATGCATTACATGGCATTAAACTGCATGAATTTTTTGCATTCATATATTTATTTATAGTTATAATATCTATTCTGATGTATACATGTACTTTATGTTCCTCATATACCATGTTATATGGTTTGAGCGAAATAAACTGAGTGACTGATTGAAAAAAAAGTTCTACTATTGAAAATATAATTTATTAATTTAGGGTATTTCTTAATCTCTTCAGCCATACCAACATGACGTGTATATAACTTCTTATCATCTCTCGGTTTTACTTTTATTTATTATTCGCACTTCAGCCATGCATGGTATCGCAAAAGAAAGATATTAGAAGTTAAAATACGGGGATTTCCCCTTAAACATCATATGAGCGATGGAATTTCGAAATTTATTACAAGTTGGGGAAATTCTTAAATAACTTTTAAACATATTCGTCATGGAAATGTTGAAATAGGTATAGGAGTCAAACATGTACATGCATAAACATGGAATCGTAATTTGGATATAAAGTGTTGCAAAATACATGTCTCAACCTCCCAGACTGAAACCAGTTATGAACAATGAAAATATCCATCTCAAATTGCAAAGATAATCATTACAACACACTGAAAGGCAATACTTTAAGAATTCTTTACGAAAAGTTTTAGTAAAATTCTACTTTTAGAATATAGATTCTATTAGTCTTGTCTTTTCGAGCCTCGTGTTTAATTATAAAATTGTCCTCTGTCTTAAATTCAGCCATATGTTTCTGATTCCAGATTCAAAAAATGATAATTATAAAACATACCTTGTTTCTTTCAATTGTTTTTACTAACAGAGCTGACACTTTTCAAGAAAAATGTAAAATAAACTAAAGGTACTGTGAGTACTGAGCTCTCTAAATGATACATTCCCTCGCATATGAGTATAGAAGCTAAGTAATTGCTCTGCCCTATAAGACCCGAAATGACTATCATATCAAACAGTTAAATAGGAGGTGCACAATGGCATAATGTAATAAAACATTTATGAAAATATCATTAAATTTTAGTCATTATACCCCCCTGCTTGAAAAGCGGGAGGGTATATAGTGATCGGGGTGTACGTCCGTCTAGCTGTGCGTCCGTCCGTCTGTTACGCTTTGCGGTACCCATCTCTTATCTGCAACTCTTCCTATGCAACTGAAGGAAATTTAATGAGACTTTCACAGAATGTTTGTTACATAGTGCTGATGTACACCCCATATTTTACATTTTGATCCGACACATATTTCGGGTTTCCCAGAGCAAAACATGGATAGCAGGATACTGCCATTTTTTCTATAATATTGAAGGCTACCCATTTCTTATCCGCAACTCCTTCTATACCAGTGATACCACTGAATAAAATTTAATGATACGTTCACAGATTCTTTGTTACATAATGCCATTGTGCACCTCCTATTTTACTTTTTGATCTGTAACTTTTTTCGGGTTTCCCAGAGCAAAACATGCTCTTTGCCATCATAACCATATGGGTGGGGGTGGAGGTTATCATTTAGTTAGCTCAGTGCTCACAGTACCTCTAGCTGGTTTAGGAGGAGTTGCGGATAAGAGATTGGTAGCCTTCAATATTTCAGAAAGAATGGCAGTATCCTGCTATCCGTGTTCTGATTTGGGAAACCCATAATAATAGCCGGATCAAAATGTAAAATAGGAGGTGCACAATGGCACCATGTACATGTAACAAAGATTCTGTGAAAGTTTCACGAAATTTCTTCAGTGGTATAAGAAAATTTGCGTTTAAGAGATGGATATCCCAATGCATAACAGATGGGCGAACGTACAGACGGACATCTCATTTCTATATACTAGTGCCTTCCCATTTTTAAAAAGGGGTGGGGGTGTGTAAAAAGTAAAATAGGAGGTGCACAGTGACACTATGTAATAAAGATTCGGTGAAAGTATCATAAAATTTTATTCAGTGGTAAGAGGAGTTGCGGATAAGAGATGCACATACAGAATGACGGACATCCCGATCACAATGTACCCTCCTGCTTTTCAAGCGGGGGTATAATAAAGAATAAATCAGACTGACTAGGTCAATATATCAAGACAAGATATCGATTTAATCACACATAGAGGAATTAGGATTCCTGATTAGTGAGATTAAGATTAATAGGGGTTTCCTTAAGTACCAACCGGACGAGGGATTTATTCAGGGTGATATAAAGTTGGATTATTCAGCAATATTTTGTTTTGAC